AAACAAAAGATTTTGTTTTAATTTGAGAACTGTATTATCCTTACTCCTGCCACTACAGCACCAAGCAGTGAGCCACCATGGGCTGTTGATCTTCACAGCCCTGCTATCTGCCCTCCCCAGCAGACCTGAGTCCAGAGGGGGTGCTGTGGTGCAGCCTGGCTTCCCTGGACCTATGTGGGGCTTATCCCATCAGCTGGCCACTTCCTGTACATGTGACTTGAAAATTCACTACCTGTGTGATGATGCTGTCGGTTTCTTTGTTGGGAGCTTACATGCTTTAGAAAGCATGTGTATTGTTTTTATTTTATCTTCTTGTGCTGGGAACCCAGGACCTTGCACACACTAGGAACGTGTACCACTGAGCCACATTCCCAGTCCCCAAAGTGTGTGTATGTGTATATAAATGTATGTATACATATTGCCTAAACTTCTAGGAAGAAAATTACATCAAACTGTCAGTGCCACTGAAATGCCTTTGCTTTCATTACGATATTTAACATCACCAGATGTCAGGTCTTTCTAAGAGCTTTCTAAAAAGAACACCATGACTGCATTTCAAGTATACCAAGAGAATTCGCGGGGGTTTCCTTCACTACTCAGTCGCCCAGTAACTCTGCCCCAGACCTTGAGGTGCAACATATCAACTTGCCCCAGAGCTGGAGAGCTGCTGGTGCCAGAGGTCCACTGTCCCTGCGGGTCGGGGGAGGGCACCTAAGCTTGTCTGACTTTGGTAAGACAACCCACAGGCAGGAATTCAGTGCAGGTGCTGTGAAGGTGCTGCAGTCCTCCTCCAGGGCACTCATATTTTTATACACCTAATACAGAAATACTTACTTCTATATTATCAAAACAATTCTGCACAATAGCAAGCCAGCTGCCTCTGGACAGTAAGTAAAGCAGCTGCCATGTGAAAAAGTTGACTTCTACTCTTTTTTGTTTGGTTGGTTGGTTGGCTTCATATAGAGTTAATACTCAGGACAACTGCCAATTACAGCAGTTGAACCAAACATGGACTAGATGTAAGAAGCTGATTTGTGTTATAAGCTGCTAACCCAAAGGGGCTGTGAAACCAAGCATAAACTAAGTAATAAACAGATGTGAGCCACCAAATATAGAAAGCCTCAGTCCTGACTGCAGTGGGGCACCACAAGATGATAGGGTGCTCGCAGAAAGATGCAATTTACAGGTCACAATGTAATAGTAACCTTTCACTGTGTAAATGGAAAATTAATCTTGGAGTATTAGATCATTTGCAGCTTATAGAGAAGTTGTATTGGCAAAAACCATAGTGAGTTTTACCTTGATCTTGGGTTGGAAGTGATGCTCAGGAATGTGCCCTGCTTCCTTGTAGTCTGGGATCGGTTCTTTTGGTATCCACATGTCTTTTCTAGTACTGTAATTTGGAGCATGTAGCTGACATTCTAAATTACAGTACTGGATCATCGCTTGATGATTTTAGGATCTTCGTGCACTAGTCTATCCTAACACCCTGGAGACTTGGAGTGAGAATTCTAATTCCAGCTCCTCTGTGACACACTGTTGAGCATGTAGCATGCAGTCCCAAACCAGCACGAGAACACTCATGCCAACAGTGTGAATGCATGTCACTACTGCTGTGTGCCAAACCACTCCAAAACCTAGGTACAGAAAGCCAGTTTGATTTTCTCACAGGCACTAGCAAGAGATGATGGGGCTGTATAGGTACAGTGACTCAGTGGCCTCATCAGAAGCATCCTGGAGGGTCAGATTTTCAGTTTTCTCACAAAACAGGAAAACCACAAGCAAGAATGTGTAGGCAAGCAGTTTCTCAGTGTTTGACAAGTGTTAACCGTTTATATCATTTGTCTTAGAAAGAGCACAGAGATCTTACTAAGACCCTCAAAATGGACAAAAGTCAAAATGTGCTGACTTCATATATTTTTCACAAAAGGAAAAAGCAACAATTATATGTTGAGAATGGGGTTGGCTCAAGGTTGTGGGAAGGTCGAATTCTGACTATCTCCTACAACAAGGTACTCAGAAAGTCTGCAAATCAGATGTAGTTTGGTCTGCTTCAGATGCATAGAACGTCAGGACCTTGGATTTTTTTCTGGCTTGATAGCATTGTTTCTCATTAAATTTCACATGCCAGTCTGGTGAGTACATTTTGCAATTTAATCAGAAGTTTTAGAAATAAAGAGGTTTTGCCCAATCACACATACTAAGCAGGAAGGGTCAAAGTCAGATGTTTTCCTGGACAGCAATTCTTCAGCCAGGATTGTTGGGTGCCCCACTGCCCCCAGCCTGGACTATGTGTAGAAACTGGGCAGGTACTCACAGATGCCCTGGCCCAATCTGCAGGGTTAGTTAAGGAGATCAGTTAGGCTTTTCTCTGAGAAATGAAAGTAATTGTTTAATTTCGTAGTGTTGTCATTAGCAAAATAATTATTCAATACAGTTCATTCTCTTTACTTGGCATTCTGATATTCACTAACTATTACAGTTTTATTCACTTAAATGAAATTTGTATGTCTAAGTGATAAGTTTGGGCTGAAAAGAAATTCAAGCACTGCCTGTGGTCATTGCTACTTCAGAAAGTGGGCTTTGAGTTGTGCTTAGAATCTGGGGTTGTGGAATAAACCGGTGGGGAGCAGGGCCAGAGACAGTGATGAAGGCGGTGGGGCTGTGCTTCAGAGTGGAGCTGCAGCCTTTAGCCCTCTTCAGGCTCTGGAGGGGAGGGTCCTGAGGTCAGAGGCAGGAGTTGTGTGGCGGGTTAACCTCCCTCTTTTCATTAGGGCAGGGCTGGTTGTACGCTGCTTAGAAACTGCAGATGGCACCTCATGTCACTTTCTGTTTCCTGGTCACAGATAAAGGATGCAAGATGAGTTGAAAAAGCTTGTTCCATCCCCTGTCCCTTATGACTTTTTATAGAAATGTATTTCTGATTTTGTAACTGGAATAAAAATATCAGTTCATTTCATTCTCAATCATGCTCTTTAAAAATTATTTTATTCTACATATCATAGGCTAACTCCACTATATAAACTTTTTTAAAGTATCAGAAAGTTATAAAAGATAGTTTTTTCTCTGATTAACTGCATATAATTTGCAACTGTAGTAATTTGAAACTGCTTGAATATATATGTGCATTTGTCATCCAAAAGCAATAACCACACTTATCTAGTTCATTCCTTTAGGAGACCCCTTGGGGTCTCTAACCATACAGGAAGTAAGCAAATAGAGCCCTTGTGGAATGTGAGGCATGGGCTGTGGATGGGCTGTGGATGGGCTGACAATAGCCTAGAGGGGAAGGGCATTGGGCATCATGATGCTCTCTCTACCCTGTGCTCCCTCCCTCTCACAAGCCTGTTGAGTCCTTGGTGGTCCTGCACCACTGTCCCACTCACCATGAACACCGAGAGCTCTCAGCATCCAAAGAGAAGAAGCAGCTCTCCAGCCCAGACTCTCGAGATCCCCTGAGTATTCTGTACTTGGGTTAGGAAGTTACTTAGAAACCCTAATTTAAAAATGATTCCTACTCTGCGTGAGAGTACATGCAAAGATGGCTTCTGTAAAAAGAGCTGCGATTCGAACCCTCACACCTATTGGTAACTAGAGTGTGCTCAGCATCCCACTGGGGCTCCCCCTGTGCCTAGGGATCTGAAATATGACCTCAGCCATTCATGACCATTATGCCCATGAGGAAACAGATTTGAGACAGTGCAACCTTGTGTCTAAACTGCAGAACCTCAGCCCAAGAGGTTAGGCTCAGAGGTAGAATTGCTGAGAATTTTACCTTACTTTCCCTAAAGGCATAAACTTATCCTCACATAAACATCACAAGACACTAAGATCAAGTTCACAACAGCCTGACCTAAGACAGAATTTAAAATGTCCTTAAAATGATTTTGCATTCCTAAAACCTAAAGTAAAACCCTGTCAGTATGGTTGGTGAAAACTGAGACTAGGATGAGCTCACCCTGCCCTGGGAGAGGCCCTGCTTAGAGAGGCCAGCTAGGTCCTGAAACTTGTACTTTTCTGCCAGGTGGCAGGGCCATGCTCATAGGACAGAGGCTGGGGAGGCTGAGCCTCAGGAGACCACTTAAGGAAGGCAAGGTCTTGCTGGGCTGTGGTAGCTGATGAAGACACTGGACCCTTGTGGTCCCTTGCCATCCTCTGGCCACATAGGCTCAACTGGAGGATATTCCTTTACCTGTTGATAGGGTTCCTGTATCATGTTTTAACTACTTAATGTCCTGGAATAAAGTTGTTTTGAAAACAACCCTTTTTTCAGAAAATACTTATTGTCATAAAATGCTGCTCATGTATTACTAACTTTAAAGTTTATTGTTCCACTTAGGATTAAGTTTTAATCCTCTTATTTTTGAGTACCTACATATGCCAAGAACTCTACTACCCTTTTTCAGCCTTAGAACAGTTTGCAAGTATATTTTCCACGTTACAGAAGAGGAAGACAAACCTCATCCAAGTGAATAACTGGACACAGCCCTGCTGACTGTAGCAGTTGGGCTCTCAGTTCAGGGCTCAGAGCCCAGGCTGGCTGTCCCTTGACTTGTTCAGCTATTTTGTGTAGACACATTAATGTAGAGTTAATTAATCAAGTATCAGTCTATATCTTATATTAGGAAAAAAATCAGTATAACAGAATTCAGCCTGTTGGTTCCTTCTAGGTTGCAGGGCTCTCTCTGGGACTGGCAGATGTGTGCCCCCTTCCAGGGTGTAAAGCAACGTGATTCTGGGAAACCTAATTGAAAAGAGCAGGTCTTTATGATGCACAGTGGTCTATTTTAGATCATAAGATCAAGGGGTTTTTGCCATATTGCTTATCATTCACCTGTGAAAGTGTCATTGAAAGTACACACGTGACATGACCACAGAAACGAAAGTTGTCAGCACCGTAAGCTCCTCTGCGTCCACCATGACTCAGCCAGCTCTCTGCACACCGGTGTGCCTGTTGTTTCACACAGCCTGTCCAGGCAGTTGGGCCTCACTCACTGTAGTCTCCTCAGGTTGCGCTGGTGCGGTGGACAGAGAGTGTTGGGCTCACTCTGATCAGCAGAGACCTCACGTCCATGCAGCTGAAGACGCCTGGTGGCCAGGTCCTGACCTTCTGCATCCTGCAGATGTTCCCCTTCACTTCAGAGAGCAAGCGGATGGGCATCATCGTCAGGGTACGAGTGCTGCTTATTTAAGTCAGTTCTTTCCATCCTTCTTCGGTCTTATAAAAGCTCCATGCTTGTTATAGTTTGTGGTTTGTTTGTTTGTTTTAAAGAAAAAACAAATAAAACCTGAACTAGTAGTTTGTGGACCAAGAAGCTAGTGCAGCTATAATGACATAAACTATCTGGTGATGTAAAATATCTATTCTTAAGACTACTAAGGCAGAATAAGTAAAAGGTACTATTAATTTTTGAAATCAACTAGACTTTGTTTTGTACTCAACAAAAGTGTGACAGAGCTTAACGTAGTAGTGACTTATGACCATAAAGTTTCTAACACATACCTCTATTTAGCTTTTCTTAACTAATCCCAAAAACGTATCTTGGAAGTTTGTTAAATAGCAAAACATTCTCTCAAACTTTGAAAGTCTGAGAGAATTTTTGCTTACACTGCAGTCCAGGTCATTTATCCATTAACTAATTCTGTTTCGAAAATTAAAGCACAGCATCTTAAGGTGTACTTTGGTGATCTTGGTTCTTACTGCACTAGCATTAGAGGGTGGAGTCCACATAGGAAAAAACACTCGTAGCTCAGCATCCCCAAGAATCCCTTTCCTGCTGCCTTTTCTAAAAGGCCATCAGTTATTGCAAGGAGCAAGGTGGCCCAGCTATCCTGTGTTTATTCTCGCTCTGCTGCAGGATGAGTCCACAGGAGAGATCACGTTCTACATGAAAGGTGCCGATGTAGCCATGTCCACCATTGTCCAGTACAACGATTGGCTGGAGGAGGAGGTGAGTGCATTATTCTAAGCACTAGTAAGCAGATGACAAAAAAAGTATGTCTTTTTTCCCCACTTGTAGACACTTCTGTTGATGGAATAAATTGAGCTCTCAGACTTTCACACCAGGCACTGAAAGGTTTTCAGGGATGGTATTATTTTCAACTAAATTATTTTAAATGCTTACAGTTCTTTTCATTCTCATAAAGCAGGAAGGACAGGAGTGCTAATTAATTAGTTTCCTACCATTTTTATTTTGTGTGTGAATGCATGTAGATGTGTATTCACGTATCCTTACGTAGAGTACTTTCTTAATAGTAAAGAAGTAGAAAGCATCCCATCAGTCATTCTCTAGAGAATTCAAGAGTAATACTGTACACATAACCACAGTTATACTTTAAATGATACTTATTTTGTAACCTAAATATTTGCAAGCAGATTTCGATCTAATGCTGGTTTGTTCATTTAATGGTAGAAAATAAGATACAAATATAAGTGATCCTATATTAAATTCTCCCTAAATAAATATGATTCATTGCTAGTTTGTGTATTAATCAGTAGTTAGATTTCAGAATAAACCTTAGGTCTATTGTAATTGTAAACACAACCCTTCTTCCTGTATGCATGATACTGCTGGTACTCAGATCTCAGCCCTCAGAGATGTCTGTCAGAATGGCGGCCACACCCACTGTTCATGATGGTGTTGCAATATGAATCAATATCTCCTTCAGGGCACTTTGGTTTAATCAGGGACATGAATAAATTAGGCTCCCTGAAGACCTAGCAAATGCCATAAAAATTACTTTTGGTCATAATGACATGCAATTAATTGTAAAATACTTGTTTAATTTATTTAGCTTTATGAGGTCAAATCAATAAATGTCTTACAACAGACAGATAATGTCAGATTGTTTTTCACAAAGAAAACTTCATCAAAAATCCTGTGTACATTTGTTTTCTCAACATTGTATTTTCTTTCCACAGATAACTCTTTTTGACCCTTCACCAGTGTCTTTGTAATATTGTTGTAGTCTGAAAACCTTTCACTTTATTAAAAACCAAAGCAAAGCAGGGTGCTGGAAAGCCCCATGGGGCAGTGATTAACATCTGTGTCCTTGCAAGTATTGGTGTTGAACTAAGGGCCTCATGCTTGCTAGGCTTTACCACTTGAACCATCCTGCCAGCCCCTTTTACATTGGTTATCTTTAAGAGAGGATCTAGCTTCATTCCCTGGCCAGCCTGGACCACAGTCCTCCTATTTGTGTTTCCTAAACACCTGGGATGACAGGTGTGATAGCCATTGGTTGAGATGGGGTGTCATGAAATTTTAGCCCAGGCTGGCCTTTAACCTCGATCCTCCCCATCAGCTAGGATTGCAGGCTTGAGCCACCATGCCTGGCTCAGGTTTCTTAAAACTTGGCCCTTGTCCAAAATATGGTAGGGATCAGCCTTATATGGCTATCATGGCATACATTTGCAAGTGTGGGTTAAATTTCCAGCAGAGGAACTGGTGATATTAGAGTACAGAATTTTGAGTTTGAAAGAAGTTACCAACTAACTTCAGACTGGTTTGTCCTAGCCTACGACCACCCATGTATGAAAGAGCCTTTTCCTTCACACCATCACCAACTAAAATTGTTGAGTTCTGCTTCTAGTAGAATAGAGACAGTGTTTCATCATCGTGATTATCGTGCTGCATTCTCTTAATATGCACATGCCTGTTGAGTGTTCAACACAGTCAAATCAGATGGTGACTCCTCCAGGGCTCCTCTCCTTTCACTGCCCAGTAAGACCTGAGCCACAGGGCCAGGTGTGTGGGGCCCTGGGTCAGGCCTCTGCCTTCTGCCTCCTCCCCAGCCCTACCTCTCACCTCTGCCTTCACCTCCCATCAGACTGATGGTGGTGACCCCACATCACATGATCAGCCTGACCCTCAAGGGCATTAAATGAGTTGAGAATAGAGCAGTGAGACCAAGATTTATGGCACTGATTGTCTGCCAGACACTGTAATTAGACAGAACACAGATGAACTTACTTGGTCCACAGCAGCCCTAGTGAAGCAGCTTCTGTGATAATGCTTTGCCCAAGAACTCAAGCTACTGTCAGAAATGGCTTTCAGACCACAACATTAGATATATGATCTTAATGGTACATCCTACCAGACATCTTCTACTTCCTTGCCTCTATACCCCACAGGAGACCTTACCTCCATACCGCAAAGAAGGTCTTCTACCTGATTCCTACTACATCCCACAGGGGGTTTTCACTATCACCCCCAGGCTGTCCCCAACACACCTACCTGTACTGTCCTTATTTTTATCACCACTCTCAGCCTGTGTCACCTTTCAAGTCCATGGGACTTTAGGGGAGAGCCTATTGTGTGGTAGGAAGGTACTCCGTAGGCATCAGGAGAGGAGCTGGGACCCCACCTCCAGCAAGTCTCTTCTCAGTGCAGCATGGGGCTGTGCAGCAACAAATGGAGGTTGTTACACCTGTAAGCTCTGCTGTGGGTCAGGAGGTGAAATGATGGGTTTTGCTGGGATGAGTACACTGCTGATACTGCATCTCACTGTCATGTGCTTTGCCTGAGTCTCTCTGTTGAAGAGAGACGGTCTGTGACCCCCCTTCACAGTCCTCCAGCTTGCAGGCAATGGGTTCACAGGGAGGTATGGACAGGACAGTGGTGCTGTCACAGAGGATGTTCTTGAGACCCGTGACTTGGCTCCTCCTCTTCCAGTGTGGAAACATGGCACGTGAGGGGCTACGAACCCTCGTGGTGGCAAAAAGAACACTAACAGAGGAGCAGTACCAAGACTTTGAGGTGAGCAACTTCAGTTCCTGCCATTCTCAGACTTGCCTTCCCTGTAAGCCCTGGTTTCCCCACTGAAATGCAGCCTGACCATCCACCTGTGCAAGTCCAGTGTCCCTGCATCTGTGGGATGTAGGCTGCCATGACCAGATTGGGCTCTGTGCTCCCCTCTCTCCAGTTTGGGGAAGGGAGGCTCCACAGAGGCTAGAAGTTCCTATGTCCTCAGTACAGGGTAAGCATCCCTAATTTCCCCAACACACCCAGGGACAAGCTGGTTCAGAGTTGGCAGATGTTTGGAGTTTGGAATATTTGCATAGACTTCACTGGTTCAGCATCCATAATCCAAAACATCCAAAATGTTCCAAAATCTGACACTTTTTGATCATTATGTCAGTGCTCAAAGTTTATCTGACTTTCGGCTTGGAGATGCTCAGTCAGCCTGCATTGTTAATTTCCACATAAAAAGTGATCACAAGCACCCACAGAGCACACACAAGCCTGTCTCCTCTGTCCTCAGAGCCAGTGCAGTTCATCTGTGGAACACACATGGAACGTGTACATATGTGTGCGGGGTGTCCCCTCTATCCCCAGAACCGATACAGCCAAGCCAAGCTGAGCATCCACGATCGGACTCTGAAAGTAGCTGCCGTGGTAGAGAGCCTGGAGAGAGAGCTGGAGCTGCTGTGCCTCACTGGGGTGGAGGACCAGCTGCAGGCCGACGTGAGGCCCACGTTGGAGATGCTGCGGAATGCCGGCATCAAGGTATGGCCTGGCGCCCTGACACCCAGAACTAAAAACCTTTTTCAGCAAACTACTTTTCTCCTTGAGGTTTTGTTCTGTGACTGCCTATGCAATGGTGGGTAGAAGAGTTTCTAGGCAAAGCTTCATCCTAGCTCCCCATCTTCCTTACCATCCTCACCACCAGTGCACCTCCAGAAGCATCCACACTGACCCTGCCTGTAGACTTCTTTCTGCCTGTCCCTGCCAGGTGTCCCCACCATGTGGTTCAGCCACATTCCCTGCCAGTTAGTTTCCTTACTTTGCACCAGCCAGTCAGAATCCTGCGCCATCAAGGTGGGGCACAAACATTCTTACTGCAGCAGCTTCTATGCTCCTCAAACCCAGGGCATCCTGGTGAGCTCTTGTGCATTTGGTGAGGTCAGTGCAGGAGAACCTATATGGGCTTTTTGTTTCACTTGCTGCTGAATCCTGCCTGTGCAGAATCACCTCATGCTGCAGAGCTTCTGGCCATGGACAGAAAGCAAATATTATCATGTGTTGACTGCAGTGGGGCTTCTGAAGCAACATGTACACTTGTCACAAACATGGGAAGCGCAAAGGAACACACAGTGGTAAGCTGCTCTCACACTCCTGCTTGGCCACTGAGGCAAAAATGGGATTCTTTCTCCAGAAACATGCAGGAGTACACACACAAACACAGAGGCACTTTTCTCCCGTGGCTCCTCATCAACATGGGTCCAGTACCAGCAGCCAGCTCGCCATCAGGCTGCACTGGGGCCAGAGCACCTCACACAGGAGTTCTCAAACTCGACTCCGCATATAGTCAGCACCGGGTGAGGGCTGGAGGTGTGGCTCAGGCTGTAGAGTGCCTGCCTAGCAAGTTCAGAGCTCTGAGTGCAAACCTCAGTTCTGACAAAGAAACAAAATGTACACCAGGTGAGGAAATGTGGTTAGTTAGTAACAGATGGCCTATCCATTTTAAATAGCCTAGATTATCAATATATTGAGGTAGTAACTGTTCCTAATATAAAGGCTTGGATATTTGCAGTGATTCTGTGTTAAATTGTGGAAGACTTCTGTCTTAAGGTCCAGACTCTCTTATCACTGTACATTACGCTCAATCTGACTCTGGATCCTGCTCTGAAAGTAAAAGGTGTATGTCAACCAGATCTCACATGCATTTCCTAAGTGACACATGGGTTGCTTGGCAATAGCAGTTCTTATTCACTTTGTCATAGTAATGTGGCATCATCTCAGGTGCAGGAAAGCGAATACAAATGTGCTAATTAAACAGAAAGCAGAAAGATAAGAGCCATAGCTGATTACTCCTGAGTGAATAATCAGTATGACACACAAGCTTCTCTGCTTCCTGTTTCCAAAAATGCATCTTTCTATATGATGCAGAAGAACATTGAAATTCAGACAGTAAGCATATTACTGGAAGCTTTTTGCTGTTTCATGAAATAGAAATAAAGTATCTTGCTATATATATATATATATTAAATGCTCTGATGTTTTAGTCTTTTATAGTCTAGGCCTATATACATATGTAGTATGTGCATGTATATTTTGATTTTTAAATGTAAAAATAACATTATTTGATATGTTTGATGTAAATAACTTTTGGCTATGGGCCATGTGCCCATTTGGACTTCACTAAGTTGAAACAAATGTCTTCACAATCCTTCTGTCTTGTTTGGCCTGTCTGTCTGCATGGAAAGCTGTGTAAATATTACCATGTGGCATAATAGATATGTGCATTAGACTCAGCCCAGCAAAGCCCGCTCTTTAGTCATGAGCTCCAGGTCCCAGCTGCTTTGTCTAAACATGACTTGCTCTGACCTACCTTCCCCAAAACAAGTCAGTACTGACACTTTTATTGTGGTACAAGTCATACAACAAAATTTGCTATTTTAGCTACTTGAAAGTGCATGAGAGTTCAGAACACCTGCAGTGTCCTGTGACCGTCACCATCATCCGTCCCCAGAACTGTCCACCTTCCCAAACTGAATCCTCCCCATTACTGTCCACCCCATCCCCCCCCCAGCTCCTGCACCCACCATTTTCCCTCCTGTCCTTATGAATTTGACTTCTAGACACCTTATATGAACAGAATGGCACAGTCTCTGTCAGTGTCTGGCCGACTTCACTCAGCATAATGTTTTCAGGGTCCAGCCATGTTGCTCTGTATGTCAGAATTTTCTTCCTTTTATTTTGGCAGTACTGAGGTGCTCACTAGGCAGGTGCGTCACCACTTGAGCCACACCCTCAGCCCTTTTCCTTTTGTTATTTTTTGGGTAGGGTCTTGCATTTTTGCCTGGACCAGCCTTAGACCAGGATCCTCCCATGTAGCTAGTATGACAGGCACTCACCACCATGCTCAGCTTACTGATTGAGATGAGGTCTCACTTTTTGCCCAGACTGGCCTCAAGCCACAATCCTCCCAACCTCACCCTCCCAAGTAGCTGGAATTTAAGTCATAAGCCACTGTGCCCAGCCTTTCTTCTTTTGTAATGCTGAATGGTTTGCCACTGGGTGATTGGACCCATTTTCCTTTTCTCTGTCAGTGGACACTTGGGTGGCTTTTCTTTTTTACTGTTGTGACAGTGCTGTGAATGTGGTTATACCAATGTCTCCTCAAAGACAGACACTTTTAAGACGCAGAAGTGTAGCTGCATTGTTGAAGTTCATCAGTTTCATTGCTTCACAGATATGGATGCTGACGGGCGATAAACTGGAGACAGCGACCTGCATTGCCAAAAGTTCACACCTGGTGTCTCGGACACAAGACATTCATGTTTTCAGACCAGTAAGTGTGCTTCTAAGTCCCTTTGACCTTTTAACTACTTTAGCTCACAACTAAAATCTATTATTTTTGTGAAGGTATACATGTAGTTATTTGTTAATTATTGTCTTTTTAAAAAGAAGCATTAAAATTGTTTTCTTACTCAATTTATGTAAGAACATGTTAAAGTAATTCAGTTGCATGAAATGTGATTTTAAAGCTGCTTTTTGATAAAGTGAACAGGCTGTGAATTGAATGGCATTTCCATTGTACTATCGTTATCGTCCTCACTGTTATCATGCCTGTCTTTAAACAGCGCACCGTGACCATATTCTCCTCAGTTTATTATTTTGTTTTTCTTTTAGCAGCACTAGGGTTTGAACTCAGAGCCTCATGCTTGCTAGGCAGGTGCTGTACCTCTTGAGCCACACTTCCAGCCCTTTTTTTCTTTTGAGCATTTCTTGAGTAGGGTCTCATAGTTTTTGCCTGGATCTGGGCCTCAGACCACAGTCTACAATCTTCCTATATACACCTCCCACTGGGATGGCAGGCTTGCACCATCACACTTGGCTTATTTGTTGAGACAGGTCTCACTAACTTTTTTTTGCCCAGATTGGCCTCCTGAGTAGCTGAAATTATAGGCATGTACCACTACACTCAACCCTGTATTGGTTTTTTAAAGTATTTTCTCTGAGCTATAAGAGTTAATGTAGTGCAGAAGCTGCTCCTGTGAGCCGAGTGCAAACACAGAGCTGGAACGTGCCTTTGACCTGCTGCTGTTCCAGAGTAGGTGCTCTTCCTGAACTAGTGCAAAGACACCATACCAGTGATCTGAATTTACATGTTTACTGTCTGTGTTAGCTAGGATGGAATTTAATTCAAACAGGAAACACAGTTCCTTGGATCTTGACTGATAGTGGGTGAGCAGCCACGAAGTCTGTGCTGAGGGAACACAGCACTGGCTCCTATGGCAGTGGTGATTTGCACATTTACATGTAAATGTACTTCACTGCGAAGCATCAGCCCTGCCAACTAGGCCCTGCAGACTACTATTTGCAATTAAATTATTAATGCTTCTGATAAAACTTCCCATCAATTCTTGTTGACTTTGTCACAGTTATAGCACCACAAATTAAGTTTTCCATAATAAAACCTACCTGAGACTAATTTGCATCACATGAAATTTTTAATTTATTTCACTCCTATATCACTACTTTTATGCCCCATAAAATCTTCACTGAAAGAATGTCAAGATCAGTACTTCTTTTTCTAGCATGTTTTCATTCTAAAATCCATGATACTTCAGTATTATGAAATAATACTCTTTTAGATTGCTTAATCCTTTAGACACTAAGCAAAAGCTAATGGGATAAGTGGAGACCCATGCAGAGATGGCAGAAGCAATTTTATAAAAGTACTCTGCATCTTTCCACATCTTATGAAAAGAGGCATGTTTAAATAAAAAACCTAATTGTAGATATTTCGGTCTCTTACCTGATGTGTGGTGAAAAGGAACTCAACTTCCTCAAGCGCTGGCATCCGACATGAAATATTGCTCTCCAGGGCTATGTTCGTAAGGTTCTAAGCCAGTGATTGATTCTCAACAGTGCTACACACCTACCGTGCTGTCACTTTATTAAATCATTGTCTCATATAAAGCACTAGAAACTTGCTAGTCATCGTCACTGTCTCTTAAAGGAGTCTATATAGCAGCAACCCCTCCCCACTGTGCACAGGTGATTGCTAGTGCTGGGGCCTTGCTTGTAAGTCTTAACATAAGTCTTAGGTGTGTGCAAGGCACTTGCATCACACACTGCACTGCAAGTTTCCTGCTTTCCAATGCCACAGGCAGGAAAGCACTCTAGTGGAGGAGGAATTTGAAAAGGTCTTCATATGGAACACACCTTTAGGTTCTAAATGCTGTGATTCCTCAAATAATGTCATTTTGGTCTGTGCCTCTCATTTAGAAGATGTTTTAATTTGTGATACTTTTTTCTCCTCTAATGAAGGTAGCCAGTCGGGGAGAGGCCCATTTGGAGCTGAATGCGTTTAGAAGGAAGCATGATTGTGCACTGGTCATATCTGGGGACTCCCTGGAGGTAAGACTGGTCCCCAGCTGAGAGTGTGTCTGTCTCCTGAGAAAGGCTGGTCCATAACACAGCATGTGTCTGTCTGTCTAAGACTGGTGTCTGACTGAACATGTGTCTGTCTGTCCATCTTTCCATGCAAGTGCTCCAGGGTTTCTTGAATGAAACATGTTCATCAAGCAGCCCAGCTGATGTCTGCTATTTTGCACAATTTTTCCTGTCACAACTGACATATGGGTTAGGCCTAAGGACAAGTCCTGGCCATGTCTGAATGACCCTTGTCCCTCTCTGTTCAGAGATTGGTTGACTTCAGTGATTCCAGGGCTTGTCCTGGGTCCCTCTCGTAGCTAATAGTGCCACCTTCCTGTGATTCTGATGTTGGACCAGGTTTCTATGCATCAGGCACACAGAGCAGATGTCTAGTTAAATCCTATCCACTTTTTGATTCCCAGGCCACCTGGGAGTGTAGAAGGTGCTAAAAGGACCACAGGGAATGCCCCAGGGGAAGGGGGCCGAGGAGGTTTGACCGAGCCTTGATTCCCACTGCTGGCAGGATCTAGGGCAGCAATGCTCACAGTAGCCTCATTGCCTGTTTTGTACATGTATCAGGCACCAGGCTCAGATGGCTGCACCCATAGCTGGCTGAGCATCTCTCTCCATACGACTTTTGCCTGGGGCTCTCGACTAAACATCTCAGACCTTGCACGACACCAGCTTCCTCAGGGCATTGTGCCAAGATGTCTGGGCAAAAGCTGGGAAACTTCCTCAGAGAGCCTTGGCTGCCCCAGAACGCCATGTGGGTCTCATTCTGTTGTTGAGCAGGTCACCAAGGCCAGCCACAACTCAGGAGGGGAGCCACAGTGCCTCTCAGTGGAGAAGTAGTGAAGACTAAGCTGTTTTCACTACTGTAGTATTAATACCAGAGGTCAGACCATAGCTCAGGTTATGGAACATTCCATTAGGTACTTTGAGTAGATAGGCTTCCTCAGGAGGAGAAGGAGGAGGAGGAGGAGGAAGGATGGTTCTAAGTTATCCAGAATTCCTTCTCCTGATTCTTATATTTGCTCATCTCTGTGAGACCCCTGGAATACTTCATAGAATTCATAAGAGATTATGAACTGTGGAATCCATGGTGGTCACTGAGATAGCCACTCCTGCACCTCTGCAGTTGCACTTCTGTGGCTGTCTTCTCCCTCACCTGCCTGGAAGTGAGTGGGGCACCCCTCACCTTGGCCGTCACTATGTCCAACATATCAGAGAATATGTGAGGTCCTTTACGCCCTGTTCTCCATAGCACCCACGAGACAGCCGGGAGGCATCATGTTCTCTTTCCCAGGTAAGGGCATTGTCTTTGCTGCTCCCAGCACACACTGAAGAGTTTGATATTTGTACCTTATTTCTAAATAACAGTGTCTGTAGAGCCATAATTTGGTCCTTTCAATGTCTTGTAGCAAGGTAATACCTGCTTAGTTCCTGGCACTTACTTTGCTCTCCTCTGTCTAACATGCTCTTAAAGGTTTGTGGTGACTGACAGAAAATGCATGTGTTATGGAGAGTGAAAATGTGCAGATTAAAGAGCCAAAGTTAGGGAGAACGAGGAAGAAACCGAAACAGTCATGGTGTGTGCAAATGAGCACTGGGAGGTTCCAAAGGGGATCTGCAAATGAGGCTTTGGGCTTCTTTGCCTGAGAACAGAAGGGAAAAGGCAGGGGAACTTAGGTGGCAGAAACAGTTGGTGCCAGCTATGGCTGGAGGAGGGAGTTTTGTACAGCCCTAAGTTTTGTACAATCTACATGGGCTCTGTCAGTATGGAGCAGGAGCTGGGGAAAAACACTCTCCTACTGTCAGTACCATTTGTAGTACATGATCTGAGAGCCTGATTTCCAGTGTTCTCCTTCATGCTAGGGAGAAGTTCCAGGGTTCTAGGCAGAACAAGAGGAAGTCATGCCCTTGAGGCAGGGCTTTGGGAGTTGGTTTTCTCAAAAAGTAGGCAATTAGGAACTGGAACTGTCTCCTTGGCAAGGACCCTAAGTGTGTGGCAAACCAAGGTCTTGATCAGCCAACTGCTGAGAAGGAGGGGTTAAATTCCTCCTAAAAACATAGTCCAATGGGAACGTTTTATGGAGTGGCCTATACTTGCTTCAGAGGAAGACAGAGATCATCTAAGTCACGTTAGCCAAGTGACTCCTTGGGATGTCCTGGGTTCTGACCCTGGGCCTGGCCTCTGTCTGAGCTGCTGTCTGCTTGCCTAGTGCTTTCTCATCAGAGGCCTGGTTGCCCCACTGCTCTCTCCACCTAGCCTTCCTCTGTGGCTGCTAGCCCAGTTTACCCATCCCCCAGCACCAGAAAGGGTGTGTTATGAAGTGGGGAGGACGTGGGCACAGGCAAGATCCAAGAAACACAAGGCTTCCCCACCCTGTCTACCCAGCCCTCCTGCTGGAGTCCAGGCCACGTGGTAACAGTGCCTAACAGAGTGCCATCTTCCAGGTCTGCCTGAAGTACTATGAGCACGAGCTTGTGGAGCTGGCCTGCCAGTGCCCTGCTGTCGTGTGCTGCCGCTGCTCCCCCACCCAGAAGGCGCACATTGTGACCCTGCTTCGTCAACACACCGGGAGGCGCACCTGTGCCATTGGTGAGCCTGATGAGAGGGGTGCATCTTCCCACCATCAGCAAAATACTGACATCTGCAGGCAATATTGTGTTCCATCTCTAAAATTAGATTTTACCAACATCCCTGGAAACCTTTTAAATAGCCCTTGATGGTTAAAAAAAAATGCATGGTGAGAGAAAGGTGTCTTAATTAATTTCCCAACTTTTTGCGCTTCTCAGGTGATGGAGGAAATGATGTGAGCATGATCCAGGCGGCCGATTGTGGAATTGGGATTGAAGGCAAGGTAGGTCTGACATTTGGTCTCTCACATACCCCGCATGTGTTTGGTGAGTATGTATGCAGTCAGCACACAGTGAAGGAGCCTGGTCTGGCCAGCACTGAGCCCCATACTTAAGTGAGAAATGGGCAGATCAGAGCCCTTCCTTCTGCTCTTCACTCTGTGGTTCCTATGAAATAGGAAGGCAAAAAGTACACTAGTCCTCAACCCTCCAAGTGTCCTGCAGGAACTTTCCTTCAAGCCACCTGTGCTTACAGTTTGGCTGGACTGGGACCAGATCCCTCAGCACAACTTTCTTGGCCTCCCTCCCTTGCTTTGTTTGCATGCCACTCTCTCCTGCCGACTGAGCCATGGTTGAGGCCTGTCTTCATGCCAGCCTTGGTTGCTGTCCTTATGTATGTTACCCACAAGACCTGGGAAATTTGCCCATCTCGAGTTTGGCTGTTCCCTTGGCTGCTCTATTCTGAGGAGCCTTACAACTGCTTCAAGAACTAGTAGCATTACAGCTCTTCAAGAATAGTCTTGAAGAGGCCTAAAACCATGGAGTGGGGGTGCTTAATTCCTGTGTTGCTGGTAGACTGCTAAAGCCATTCTTCCAAAGTACTTATGAGCAACTCCTGACGTCCATGTTCAGGCACCTTGGGCAGGTTTGTGGGCACCAGTACAGGCTCCTCCACCTTCTCCTCCATGCCAGGATGGATGTGCCATGTGAAGCTTCCAGCATTGTGCAGAAAGAGCTACCCACTCCTTTTGATTCAGGCCAAGCTCCAAAACAGCTTTGGAGCATGTGGCTCTCAGTGTGCAGTGTTTTGAAGAGGTGCCTGTGTGGTTCTGCTGCAGGAGGGGAAGCAGGCCTCGCTGGCAGCAGACTTCTCCATCACGCAGTTCAGACATATTGGCAGGCTGCTCGTGGTGCACGGGCGGAACAGCTACAAGAGGTCTGCAGCACTCGGCCAGTTTGTCATGCACCGGGGCCTTGTCATCTCCACCATGCAGGTACTGGCCGCTTGGCTAAGTGGGGTCATTCTCTTGTGTGCAAGTCTGAAATGCCGAGACAGAGTCCCTTGAAGACTCAGCATATACCTAAAATAATGAAGGACGGGAAGGTAAAACAGGTCCTGTCTGGGGCTGGGTACCAGTGGGAGGAGGGAGGGCAAGTATGGTGGATGTACTGTACATTCGTATATGAAAATAGAACAATGGAACTTGCTGAAATTGTTCTAGGAAGGCCAGATGGAGATGAGGAGAAACGATGGAGGGTGAATCTAATTAAGACATAAGCACATATGTAAATGTCACAGTGTGTCCCCTGTCCAGCTATTATGTGCTAATAAAAAATTTTCTGAAAAAAAGAAACGAGGGGAGAGTGGATCTCCACAGAGGATGGTAAGGGCGGGGTATCCCTCCCTTTCCTGAATGCAGGCGCATAAATTGGGACAACAGTCAGGCTTCCCACCCTTCCATAACTGAGCACCAACTCTGAGCAGCTGCCCCACAGTGCAGCTGCTTAGGAGACTGCTTACCCACCACAGCTCAGGACGAGGAGCCTCTGCTATCCGAGTCTGTGCAGGAAGTAGCCATCAGCAGCTAGAAGAAAAACAGACATTAATATTAGGGCATGTGGGAGAAGCCTGCATGAAAGCAGTGCACATGTGGCTAGCACTGGCTGTTTTCACCTATGTGTTCTGTCTTCTAGGCAGTGTTTTCTTCAGTCTTCTACTTTGCATCCGTCCCCTTGTACCAGGGGTTCCTCATGGTGGGGTAAGTGAAATGCTGTGCTCGTGGTGCCTCACAGTGTCCCATGTGGGAAAACTTTTATTTTGAAGAAGTGTATGTGGAATACTGAATAATGTTCTGGGTAATTCTGCATCATTACTTACACACCAGCATGTAGAATGAATAACACTATGGTGAAATCGACATTGCACTTGGGGGAACTTAGAGACCACACTGGACACTTAGGCCTCTGGAGACCATACTGTTAGTTTCTTGTTAGATTTTGTCTCATGGGGAAGCGCTAATTTGTGTCAAGAGCTGCACTGGATCTGAGATTTGGTTAAAGGGCCCTGTGGCATAATGAGGGCAGAGCCCATTCTGAAGCTGCCATCAGCAGGGGTTGAGGCCATAGCTGCAGGCCTCCTAAGCTTGCCCTGTCCAGGTGGGAACATGGCTTAATGTGAGGAGGACAGAACAACTGCCAACCAGGACACAAAGTATAAAAGGCACTGGAGTGCCTCTTTAGATTTGGGTGAGATGTGACCAACTCCAAAACAGACACCGGGAGTCCATCCCTGGCAGCACTGAACCCTTACCTTCACAGATTGCTCCTGGGAGACCTTAAGTGTATGAGATGTATGGAGGGCATGCAAGTTGTAACAAAAGCTAAAGTGATCTTGCCTGCCAAATCTGCAAAAGAGGAATTCTCTCCAAATGTGAATTCCTACCCTCTGTGCTTATGCCTAGAGATAAAGTCAGTATAACTGCTAGTGTGTGGCCATAAAAGAAAAAAAAAAAAGAAAAGCCACCCTCTGCCACTGTCTCCCTGTGCTCCACAAAACTAGTCACTGTCACTCACCTCTACTGGGATTCCATCTCATGAATAAATCTGGGATGAGCCCAACCACTGACCTTTGTGCTCTGCTTTGAGCACGTGCCTACCCTCCTCTCATCCTCATTCTGTGCGTTCTCCTCTGGAGGAGTCCAGAGGGTCCAGTACTACGCTCATAAGAGAAGCAGCCCAGGTCTCAGCAAGGTAGGTTTGTGCAGGTGCGGCCCTGGACACGTTCACACCAGCACCTTTCTCCGAGGTGTCTGGCTTCCCTCTAGGCCAGCCGAGGGCAGGCAAGGCAGGTTATCTCACCTGCAAGCTATCGTAGTGCTTTCTAAGGGCCATTTCATCTGACAGCTCCCTAACTTTAGCAAAATACAAAGAAGTAGTGTTTTTTATTACATGTAGGGTCCCCGTAAGTCACCTGCTTCCCCAGTCAGAATTTGTGATGGGTGCTGCCTATCCTCCCCGGGGCTCTCTAGCGTCCTTCCATGGTGCTTCTCCACAGCACAGTGGCCTCTTTTAAGGATCCAGGTAGTCAGGCTGGGCTACCCAGGTTGGATTACCTAGGTAATCCAGTCTAATCTCCCGTAAGTGTGTCATGTGTGGTGCTGGCACAGAGTGTGGACATCTGGGGATCCATTACTGACCACATTATGGTGTGATGAAGAAAAAGAGGGCCTAACATCTCAGGCCTGGGTGTGCACACTGACTCCACAGTCACTGGCTGCAACCTTGAAACATCCTTGCTCTCCTGAGCCTCGGTTTCCTCATCTAATAGGCAGTTGTAATATGGAGACTCAAGTGCTGTTGTGTGGGATGGACATGATGAGTTCCTAGCACAGAGCTCAACACTTTCTAGGTACTAGGAAACATGCTCCTCCCATGTGACCCAGCACACGCCCCAGTTGGCAGTTCTGGCCACCATTAATGAGAAACTGTCTTCACAGAAACCTGGGAAGTGAATGTTCAAAGTAGTTTTATTTATAAAACCCCAAACTAGAAATAACCAAGATGTACTTCTGTGGATGAATGAGTGGTTAAATAGCTCACCCACACTGTGATGCCACTCAGCAATAAGAAGGAAGTACTCTCAACACAGCCACAGTCTGGATGACCTCCAGGGAACTGTGCTGAGTGCAACAGCCACTCTCCAAAGGCTACCTACCATGTAGTTCCATTTGTACAGTAACCCTGAAATGAGAGATGAAGAGCAGGTAGGTAGTGCCAGGGTAGTACGGCGAGGGAGGCGGGTCATGACTACGGAGGACACAGAATTCCGTGGTCTCATCTGCATCTGAACTTTTTAGTTGGTTTTTTTTTTTTTTTACAGAATTTTGTTTTGTTGAGGTGTTTGAAACTTGGATGTACTTCTTGTGCTAGACATATGGTCATAACTGTGTCAGACATTTACTGAACTAACGTAACTTAGTCTTCTCGGTTTCTAAGGTATGCAACTATCTACACCATGTTCCCAGTGTTCTCTTTAGTGTTGGACCAAGATGTGAAGCCAGAAATGGCAATTCTCTACCCAGAACTGTACAAGGACCTCACCAAGGTATGGCCTGGCACACAGCCAATATGGGACAAGTGTGAGAAAACATAGGCATTTTGGATCATTGTCTGACATTTTCCTTTTGAGTTAAACTTCAAAAGGGGAAATGTCCCGGGGGAAAATTCTCTCAAATGTTTGTAGTAGAGTGCTCGTGTTATGCATGAAACTAGAATTTTAAAGGATGCGCCAAACCATGTGAGGAACTTGAGGATTTAGCAAACAGACTTCCCAAATGGCTGAGAAGACCTATGCCTTGATTTCTTAGGAAGGGTGCTGACCAGCTGTGGCTGCACCTGATCAGCACTGTTACCCTCGTGGGTTTCAGAATCGTGTCTGAAAAGTGACTAACAGTGCATCTCTGCTCCCGACACATGCTGTTCTGCAGCAGTGCTGTGATGAACAGCATCGTCCACAGGGCTGCTGGGCTAACGCTATGCACAGGACCCACTGAGCTGGAGGCTGTGCCTGTCCAGAGTAAGATACTCCCCAAGGAGGTTCTGAGTTTATTATGTTTTTGTATGAAAGCATATTTTAAAGCTAGAAACTGTAAGGACACAGGGTAGAGGAAGGGCTCATTTCTTCAGATACATATTATAACTGGAATTTTCCACATGGCTAGCTTTCCTGAACTATCACTGACAACAACATCCACTAACCCTCCATTAAATTTAGGTTTACCATTGATAACCTGAAATTGTTAACTAAGATTTTTAGAACTGTAGCCACATGGTACAGTGAAAAGAAATAAGATTAGGTGTTCAAAAAACTAGATGCCAGCCCACCTCACTGCCAACAGACTACACTGCAGCCCACCTGACCACTGAGTGGTCAGAGAGGTGCTTGGTGAGACAGGTCACCTTTTGGCTTTCCTGGTATTATTGAAGGATTGGGTATATTAAAATTTTAAAGCTCTTGGAACAATAGGAAATGGCCATATACTTTATCATCAGGACAAATAAACCTAGTTCAACAGTACACATAAAGTAAGATATAAATGTCGAGTATTCTTATCATGGGACTACCAGGAGAAATTATTCCAAATTACATAGGTTACAGTTAGAAGAAACACTTTTGGTCTAATATCCTAAAATGATGAGACCATTTGGATCTCTCAGGTTATTCCAAACAATTACAGTTGTAGTAACTTACGCATCACCTCATTTCCAGATACTCTGCAAATGTGTGTTCAATTTTGCCTCACAGATGGAAGGTGGAAACAAGCTCTTTGTATAAAAATCCAGAACTGGCCCACCTCCCCTAAACCTAGAGTCAGGCTCACTGTAGGTGCAGTCCACCAGCTTTGAGGACTTCTCATCAGCAGGGCTGGAATAAAGGCAGGGATGGAAGGAGGACCACGAGGGGGAGAGAGATGTACCAAGGCCTAAATCTGCAGATCTAAATTACTCCAGTCACTAAAGAGTCTAACAAATGAGCTCATCTCTAGCTGAAGCCATGGCATCAGTGCATTTGTTGTTGGAGCTCACGCCCTTTACACGTGAGGATGTTGTGTTCAGTTTGGACTGGGTTGCAGCTCATCCAGGGTTAAGGTTTATTTTGTTAAGTGGACAACAGTTCAGAATGCTTGAGCATTCTAAAGTTAGGACATTGTTCCTACTTTTTTTTTTTTTTTTTATAATTCCATCATCCATTTTCTCTAAGTTCCCTTTCTTCAAGATACAAAAATCTATCATTTTTGTCTTTGTAATATCTATTTCTTTAAAAATCTGGCACACTTTCAATCCTTACAAAACAAAGTAGCATGAAAGTACTTAAGCACTCAGGTTGGTTAAATGTTGTCGTTTTTTCTTGCTGAAGCTGAAGAATATCTTTGAAGCTTTTAATTCCTTCTAAACACCTTGCCACACCATCTGCACAGCCAGTCTTTACCCTTCTCCAATAAATGTGTGGACAGACAGACATTGCGAGCCTGTCTGTAGGTGGCACCAGCCAGAGGTGCGTGTGCATGAGATATAGTCCCTGTTCTCAGCAGGACTCTGTGCTAGCAGGAAGAGAGAGCGTGAGCTACTGGTAATCGAAGTGGTGAAATAAGTCACGTCCACTGGTAATTTATCCAGCAAGTTTGGAAGTGCTCCTCCAAAGTCAGTCATTTTAGTCTAAGTATAAGTAATGCGAGTATTACAGACCTGCCTTACTGTTCTAATGAGGTCAACCAATCCTCAGTCTAAACATTTACTCATTCATTGCTCTATTTCTGCAGCCTAAACCATACCTACTCTCTGGTGTCTGTTACCAGGTATGGCTTAGGCCATGGAGACAGAGATACCTGATATCTGTTCAGTAAATATTTGATGAATTAGTGACAGAGCAAAAGAATCAGGTAAACAAAGAAGCAACATTTCATTTTTCTTCAAACCATAGAGTTTGTATTCCCTACAGAAAATGATGTTTAAAACAGTATTATTTTGTTGGTCCTCATTTGAAGCCCAGTTTTTTCTTTGAATTATTAAACTTTGCTTCTGATAAATTCCATCACTTCATTTTCTGGATGCTACCATTGAGACAAGAAACTGGCCTGCTCATGTCTCTCCTAACCTTGCAAATATCTCCATTTGTCCCAGGTGGCCTTTGACCTCTTAAGGAGCTAGTGAGTCTGAGGTCCAGGGGCCAGAACCTAAAATGAGTGAGCAGTGAGTGGAGTGGTCACACCCTGAAGTGTGTCTGGCTATGGCTGGAATTTAGCTTTACAGTTCAGCTTCATATCACTCTCTCTGCAGACTGCTCAGATACCCAGTAGGTAGCAGCATGTAGTCCTTCACAGGAGGGTCAAGACCGTTAGTCCTTGAGCCGTGAGCACTAGCTCACTATTTATTTTTTTCTGTACACTATTTCAAAAATGATGGTAAATAAGTCAACAGGGTAAATTAAAGATACAGAGATTAAAAAGGAGAAAACAGATTTTTTTTTTCAGATTCCGTAATTGTCTATGTTGAAAATTCCAAAGAAAGGAAAAAATTCAAGTCATTACTAATTCTGTATACTACAGATTGTTGTATAACAATCAATCAGGTCTGAGAAAATATATATGCTATTTATGGTAACACACAAACAAGTCTAGCACTTAAGTATACTTGTGATAAAATATGTTCAGGACCCATGTACTAGAATAAATACCAGTACATGAGGTTTAAAAGATGAGAGGTTGAGTGCTGTTGAATCATTGATGAGGTGCTTTCAAAATTTAGATGAAAAGGCCAAGGAGATTGGGTTTGACAAGACAATTTAGAAAAAGAACACCATTCATAGACAGGCTACCTGATTTCAAGATTTACTGTACAGCAGTAGTTGAGGCAGTGTATAACTGGCAAAGGACAGACACAGAGATCACTAGACAGAAGAGAGCCAAGTAGAAGACCCACCTATGTCACTGAGTGGGAGAAAGTCTAGGAGAGGAAGTTTGATGTCAAGACAGCTGGCCACCTGAATGCAGCTTCCACCTCACTTCTCATGTCACTCAAGTGCACCATCAACGTGGGTTAGACAGAGTTTTTACATATAAGCTCAAAGCCATGATCCATAAGGGAAAAAAATTAATAAAATGGACTTTATCACAAGTTTTACTCTGAGGGTGGTAAGTTAAGAAAACGAAAAGACAAGCTACAGACTGGGAGGAAATCTTTGTCAGTCAAGATGAGCAAGACGTTGTGGTTCTGGATGGAACGCTTTCTGTGTAGCTTGACATCCCAAGTTCACGTCTAAGAGTAAGGTGTTTATAGCTCACATGTCACGAGCTTTTGTCCCTCAACACTGGAGTCAGATCCATGATTACACATCCACTTCAAGGAGCTTCTAAAATTATTTACTTCAATGGTTTTTACTCATCCCGTTGGCTTTGGTGTTGTTAGTGTACAGTCTGCATGAGACAGGAGCAGTTAGGTGTGCAGACTCCATGTGCTGCACACATGTTTGCAGCTCCTAACGAGAGATGCACAGGTGCCTTCACTTGACCTTCCATATCTTCACTGATATATACCTCACATAAACAGTCTGAACACATTTCAGCAAACCTGGCTACAGAGTAAGCCACTTATTTCTTGTATCAAAAGAGGAAAATTAAATTTCCTTTTAAATTTCTCAAGGAAAATTAGCCACCTACTTAATTACAGATGAATTTTATGGCCAAAGACCAAAAACCCACTAGTGTCCCTCAGAGAAATGCACTTGGGAAACAGGTGCTAAGATGATCTGCTTATATTATGTCAGTGTTAAGTTAAAAGTATTCTGCTTTTTCAAGATCATTGTTTCCTTTAGTAAACTGCAGTGTATTTGAACACTTGTGGCACTCACATGCAGTGAGGATGTGGGCTCGCTGAGCATCTTCAGAGAGAGTTGCAACCTGAGCCTGCTCCCTGGTAACATCTCAGGACTACAATGCAGTTCCTCAAGTCCCCTGGGTTGACATAGGCTGCAGGTCTAGACTCAGGCATGGTGTTAACCACCTCACGTCCCTGTGTGTCTCCTGCTGTATCCTCCTTTGGTGGCACTTGCCATGCACAGGCATCATGAGGAACTCTCCCTGGGGAAGGCCTGGATTAAGTGCAGCTCTTTGGGCCTTGGTCCATCACAGCACATAGCTTGAGGACCACAGCAGGATCTTAAGGAAAACCCTGCTCATAGGGTTTCTCCCTGTGCCAGGGTTGGCCTGAGTAAGAGGCTACACTGCTGGAAACAGAGGTGACCTGCACAAAGATAAGGATCTGATGGCCTTGTCATCTGGCCTGTCCTGACTCCCACTACAAGGCCTCCTACACATCACCTCTGATACATCCCTAACACTGACAGTAAAGGCAGTGAGTCCATATGACTCATCCCCTCAGACTCAAATATCAGCGGCACTCAAATTAAGGTGATAGAACCAGGATCATTTGTCTTTGGCCCACCCCTAAGAACCTGTGTTCACTTGGAAAAGGGAAGCTTTTCAAGAAACCATTGTTTGTGTGGGATTTACTTATGTGACAGCTTTTTCTAAAAGCATTTAAGAGACAATAATTTTTCACTTCAATCAAGAATTGTCACCTTTCATATTTTTTTGTTTGTGGAAACCAAATGGTAAATACAGAAATACTTTTTCCCAAGAAATCAAGAGTAAAGGGAGACTATTCTTATTACAAAGAGAGCCCTAGTCCATTCAAGTGTTCGTCTGTAGACATCAACTCCTGGGTTCCTAGAAAGTCAAGGAACATCCTGCTGTAGCTTCAGAATCATGCACATCAAACCCGTGACACCCACACAGGTGACTTCTGCAGGGGGAAGGCTTGCTGAAGTGCCCCATAAGATAGGGGTTGAAATGTCACCAGATCTAGCAACACTCTGGGAAGGAGGTCTCCAAAAGGAAGGAGGCCTCTGCCTAGCCCTTGGGTACCAAGTTTGTGATACCGTGATAAGGGAGAATTTTAGGATACATCTAGGCAGAGACTGAGAAAGTTGAACAGTAAAGCCAGCAAAGGAAAGACAGAAGCATAGTGCAGCCCAGACCTGGGTGTGCTCACACCTGACAGCAGGTGCAGCTGTGTTTCAACATCAGAGGTATCCATGAGAAAACATAGCTAGGGGGTTTGGGTTTAATTCACTTTAGGGAAAGTGCTCGCCTTTGTTCTGACACCTGGTATGTTTTACCACTTTTGCTCTTACACTGTCTTACCACTGGTCCCAGAGACTTCAAGGTTGGCCTGCTTATTAAACTGAGGTCACTATGGCATAGATGTTTGACCATCCCTTTAAACAAAGGCTGGGTCCTGCCAGGCACTCCCTCCAGGACAGGCGTCATTCCTTGCCATAAGGGTTTTCTTTCTTGTACCCAGAGGAGTCAGTTTCCCAAGAGCTTTTTCCCTAGGATAAGTGTCTTCCTTTAAGACATACTTGTTCAGTTCTCAGAGTGCACTAATCATTTTTGGGAAAGTGGCCAAGGTCAGGGGGAGAGAGAGCTTTTTTCCTTTTTTTTTTTTCTTTTCTTTTTAGTAAATGTTGCAGCTTGTTGAGGGAGTATGACGGTTAAATCAAAGAAATTTTGCCTGTATACTTTTAATTAATACAGTGTTTGTCTCTGAAATCCTGGCTGCTGTTTCCCGTGCCTCAGTTTTCCTGATCTATCTTGCACATAGTGTGGTACAGGGTGGGGCCCTGGGCTTTTGACAAGCCCCCTTGCTCTGCTGAGTAAGCTCTCCTGCTGTCACCCCTAGGGAAGATCCCTGTCCTTCAAGACCTTCCTCGTCTGGGTGCTGATCAGCATCTACCAAGGTAAGGCCCGCCCTGTCGTCTCTGTGCAGCCGCTGTTCTCATCTCCAGTGAGAATCCAACAGCTTGCCTTCCGTTCATCTTGTCAACTTGATACTCCAGAAGTGTGCATGGGATGTTTTAACTGATGTGTGCTAGCTAAAAGCTGACCTGTTTTTAACTAAACGTTAATCCCAGAAAGTTCAGCAAGCGCATTTTACCTTGTGTCCCTGCACAATGGTCTTCTTTCATAGAATGATGCCAGCAAGGCTTTGAGACATGTCCTGGAGTCCTGGCAAGTGAGAGGTCACTGCGTGCATAAGTAGCTGCAGCTGCAGAGATCACGCGCTTGGCTTGCCTCCTCATGGGTACCAGTCGAAGTGGATGTGTGTGAGCCAGCAAAATCCAGAGTTTAATGAACTGTCCAGCCACAGGAAATGTGGGCATGTGCCTAAGCTCATTGTAGGTGTTAGGAATGAGCTGGCCATTTCTGTGGTCTTTTCCTAGACGGCTTATGTGATCATACAGCTCCCAAGCCAGTGGAAATAGCTGTCCTGTAAAGGGCCACTCTGTCCACTGTCTTGCAGGCGGCATCCTCATGTATGGGGCCCTGGTGCTCTTCGAGTCAGAGTTCGTCCATGTTGTGGCCATCTCCTTCACTGCGCTGATCCTGACCGAGCTGCTCATGGTGGCTCTGACCATCAGGACATGGCACTGGCTGATGGTCGTGGCAGAGTTCCTCAGTCTGGGCTGCTATGTGGCCTCGCTTGCTTTTCTAAATGAATATTTTGGTAAGTTGCTTTGAACTTTCCTTGTCTACTAGTGGTTTTTAAACATTTGTTATTGTAACTTCTTAAAACATTATCTTAAGTTGTAGATCACAGTCAAACCCTTATCAGAGTTTCAGAACACAAAAGCTTATTTTTGTGGACAGATGAAAATCCCTACAGTGATTTATAAAATTAAGATCTTCACCATCTCATCTTTTTAAAGCTGTTCAAGATGTGTTCATTTCCAAGACTTCTTCCAATGAAAATTATGCTGTTTATATTTTCATGGTGGAAGTAGCTGACTGCTCCAAAGTCAGCAGTTTGGAGAGACAGCCTGGTACCTGTGAGCCATGTGTGCTCTACTGCCTGCCTCAACTGTCTGCACAGGGCCACAGCCACCTCAGCAGCCCAGTCAGGGACCTGTTAGTGAGAAAGCAAGGTCATGGTCCAACCCTCCTGGGATAGGTCTCAGGCTATCCTGACCAGTCCAGCTGCCTATTGCCTCCAGTGCAGGTTGCAGGCCTCTCCAGTCCTGGCCCAGCCCACTAATGATACACCAGCTGGATGTGGACTGGAGTTTGGCCTCCCTGAGCCCAGTTCCTAGGAGAGAAAAGTCCTACACAAGATATACTGGGTGGGCCCTGAGTTCTGAGTGAGCAGCAACTGTTGTCACCATCACCCCTTTTACTATTGTTCTCTGCAGAAGAAGAGAGAACAAGTCAGAGGAGCCCAGACCCCATGTTTCCATGTGACCACATGCCTGCTTTTCAGCAGGCTCAGGGTGCCTCTGCATGTCCCTTGGCAGAATGAACCCATTAGAACCCACGTGGTCCCCATCTGTACATCTGCAATCTTCTATCCCCTCCATTGTTGTACTTTTTGCTCAGCTCTGGACCACCCTTACCTGCCCTCCTTGTTGGACTAGCTTCTCACTCTTCTTCAAACCCAGTTTCATGCCTTTTCCAGTCAGATGTTGAGAATGACAAAAACCATGTCATTGTCTCTTAGTTAAGATCCCTTTGTCACCCCCAAGTTGGTTAATGTGACTAGTAACCCTGAGTATGGAGCTTTCTCAAGGTTTTCAAAATCCAGACAGAGAAAGGGGAAGGATACACTCCTGTGAGGATCATTAAATGGCAGGCACCACATGGCTCCTGGAGTGGCCAGGTCCCCATCTCCTGGGCCAAAGCAGAAGGGCAGGGTGATGGAGCCAGCATGGTTGTGCACATTGGCGCACAGTCCTGTAGCTGCCTGAGCATCAAGCCAGTTCTCCTCCTGGTCTGGGAAGAAAGGTTGCATGTTTTCTAAAATGAGAACCTATACCTTCCCCTGATGTGTCTTCTACCACCAGGACTATAGTGACAGACACCATCCTGAGCACTTGTCCCAGCTATAGTGACAGACAACTTCCTAAGCAGTTTTCCCAAATGAGCTGGTCACACACATGTTGTCCCTGCACTACAGATGGAGAGGCAGAGTTTGGGGTGACGAGTGTGCTGAGTTTGCACACTGACGTGTCATGGAGCCTGTGGCTCCTGGGGTAAAAGCCACAGTGAGTGAGTACAATCACTGCAGACCCTTGCTCATCAGGGCACTCGGAGGTCTGCACAGCAGTGGGCATACAGGTGGGAAAATGCAAGGCACTCATTTTACATTAGAGGAAGCATTCACGAAACGTGTACTATGTCATGTAAGAAAGGGCTACTTTCAAGTTAGGATGTCTGTTATTTTTCTTTGGAGAACAAGTGCTTATTCTGCTTTCCTATATGATGACCATGAGTTAATGCACTCAGGATATAGAAATGTCGGTTTATTGTTTATTTCACTTCAATAGGATGCTTCCTTCATTTGACAGTATTTACTGAACACAAATCAAAATACTGAAATTGGGAAAACAGACTTTCTAGTCAAGCACTGTAATGAGCCGACACAGAGGTGACTAGAAGCGGGGTTGCCAAGTGCAGAGGCATGCCCATCCCCATTGTGAGCTGACCTCAGCTGCCCACAGACCAGGCCTGCCAAGGTGAGCAGGAGTGTGGAGTCCCAGCCCAGCGAGGCCTGTGCTCAGGGACAGCGCGCTCTGAGGTGGACCCGCCTAGATGCTAGATGCAGACCCAACAGGCATGTCTATGTGCTTGCCTCTTACGTTCCAGTAAAGTAATTGGTGTTTTCAGTTAAGCTTAAAGATTACATGGTGACAGTCAGTGAAATGAAGGGGCTAGGATGACAGTCACAAATTCCACTTATGCTGACTTTTCTTACTGCTTCTTTGATGTATTCCTTTAATCGTTAAGTAACCACTCTGAATGTCCTGATGTCTGCTTGAATCTGCCTTCATTCTCTGTTCCTCTTTTCTCTTGACAGGTGTAGGCAGAGTGTCTTTTGGCGCTTTCTTAGGTAGGTGAAGTTATTTCTTTCAAGGATACAGAAACTTAGCAAAGCAATTCTGACAGATATGCTTAACTAACTTAAAAAACCTCCTCTAACACCTCCTCCCACTGACGGCCACCAGCTCCCTGCTGGCCACTGCCTGCTGAGTGAGGGGTTTGGGGTCCAGGCTGTTCATCCTTCCCTAAAAAATTTCCAAGCTTTCACGTGGCCTCAACCTCTCCTTTATGGGCTCTCATCCCGTTAGGAGCACAGGTGTTTTCCTCAGATCTCTTTTATTTTTGTCACAGTCTGTAACTCCTGGTAAGTGGATCTTTCATTCTGTTTCCTGACAGCAGTCTGTGGGATTTAAGCTACATGTAGAATCAAAATGTCAGGTTCTTCACCTGCCTTTTCTCATTAGCACAGCTTCATGAGAGTGGTAAACAGGCTGGTGTCTGGCAAGCGTGAGAGGGCTGAGGGCCAGCCCAGCTGAGAGCACTTAAGGACAGGCAAGGTGGCTCATGTCTATAATCCCAGCTACTCAGGAGGCAGAGATCAGGAGGATCAGAGGGACCAAGGTTCAAGGCCAGCCAAGGAAAAAAGTTAGCAAGACCGCCCCCCCCATCTCAACAAAATACCCAAGTGTAGTGGCATATGCATATCATCCCAAATACGAGAAGAATAGGCAGAGGGATCACAGTTGGAGGCCTACCCACGCAAAACCTTAAGATGCTATCTGAAAAATAACTGAAGTAAAAATGGGTTGGGGCGTGACTCAAGTGAAGCAGTGAAATACCTGTCTAGTAAGCTTGAGGATCTGAGGTCAAACTCCAGTACCACACACACCCTTTCCCCACCCCCCCCAAAAAAAGAGTGGACCCACCTGAGCATTTGTGTCACAAGCAGGGAGCTGCCTCCCACCCTTCACTGCCTGGAGCCCCGTGACTGGCTCTCACTCTCCTCTGCCTCTGTCTGACAGATGTTGCCTTCATCACAACTGTGACCTTCCTGTGGAAAGTGTCAGCCATCACCGTGGTCAGCTGCTTTCCGCTCTACGTGCTCAAGTACCTGAAGCGAAAGCTGTCCCCTCCCAGCTACTCCAAGCTGTCCTCCTGAGGGTGACTGAGCCTAAGCAGATACACTCCTGTGCTGGGCAGCATGGGGACAGGTGCTCCTGGCTGCTGAGGGCCACCCTCACCCTCTGTCCTCTTTAGTGCCCATACATACTGTAAGCAGCATGAGCCTTCACTAAGCAGGAGTCTGATCACTTCACCGCTGCTGTGAGGCTCTGCCCTGAGAACCAAGAGTTTAGTTTCTGCAGCACTTTCCTTGATGGTGAGCAACAGAAGCCATTCCCACCTGGACAGTAAAATCTGGCCACTGTGCACCTGCCACTTGCTGCCCCTCAGCTGATGGCGGGCCTGCACACCATCCTCTGTTGCTGACACACTCCTCTCTAGAGCCCATGTCGCTTTGTGGTGGACACTCACGCGGCCATGAGTCCTCAAGTGAAGAATCCTCTCTTCACCCATTTGAGAGCCCAGATGACCAAATGGTGACTCTTCTGACCACAGGTCCATCGCAGCTATGAATGTAAACCATTCCTGCACGGCCCTGCTGTTGCGTAATGTGCTTTCACAACTCCCATCCTTTGTATTTGCTTCTCTGCATAGAAATCAGCTGGCCTGCAGAGGCCTCCCCTCGCCTCGCCCTCGCCTCGCCTCGCCTCGCCCAGATGGGTGACCGATGCTGTGGTACACAGGCCTCCACGTGGGCTGCCCTGGGGGCATTTTGAGCAGGCTTCTGGGCTGCGGGGGCGGGGCTTGCCTTCCTTTCCTATGCACCATCCAGCTCTGCGTCTGCTGCCCTCCGGGGCTCCACATCCCTCAGTGAGTTAACAGAGGAGAGAACCTTTGGATTGTGTACTGCAGGCACTGGAGGCGTCCTCGCACAGGCCTTTTGTAGGTGTCCGTGTTCTTCAGCTTGATTTCCCACCGAATGTCAGCCCCTCCACCCCGAAATCCTTGGGGAATGCCGGGTTGTGAGTGGAGGGCTGAGGGATTTCCCAGCAAGCTGTGGGGCTGCAGTGCGGTCCCCCCACTGAGCTCCTGTCTGTCGGCAGCTGCTTTTCAAAGGAGAAGCTCTTCAACCACAATAAAGCTTCATTTCTTCCTACCTGTTGTTATTGGTGCCTTTTGAATTGAATGCCTATAGCAGGCTCCATTTTGGATGCTTGAGCATCAGGAATTCCCAGATAGATGGGCCACCAGAGAAGCTATTTCTTTCGTTCTCCACAAGGTGTCACTGTCTTGTCAGTTCCTGTATGTCACAGGCTAGTTCCTGTGCTGAGTGGAGGGAGCCCAGACGCTGGACACACTCCTACTCCGTGATGTCCTCCTCCTCCTCTTCATGCTGTTGAATTGAAGGCATTCAGTTCACAGAAATGCCAACAGCTCAGGAGGTGAGGTCAGGGGTACAGAATGCCAAGTGCAAATCAGACACGTGCATGGCTCTGTGCTCTTTAAAATAAAACACCCACGAAGAAAGTTGACTAGCACAGTTGTAACAAATTGTAGTCAATAAGTAGGAACCTCTGGGTTTAGTGCGAGTGTGGAACACAGAAGCATGGCGAGGGATGTAGAGTAGATGGATACTGAGCAGGAGGTGTGGTCAAGCATCAGCCCCCTGAGATAGAGGTGTGAAGCAAAGATGAGCACCTCAGGACACCATTGCTTGGGTCAAATGAGGCAGCGGGAGGGAGAGGCTCCAAACAGATGCCTGGTACACATTAAGTGACTCAGGAGTGTGTGACACTGGTTCTCTGGGGGGGTGGAAAAAAATAACCAACTCATGCAGGATCATTCCACGTGTCCCAGCTCGGGTTTATGAGCGAGCTCTTCCAGAGTCAGACGGGGAGGAGAGCAGCTTTGCAGCCAGTCTCTCCTGTTACTTTGCAGAACAGCTTTGGAGTATTTACTTCTGGAGCTGTGTTAGCTCCAGAAATTCTCATCACTGAGCTGGCTTGCTGGTTAGCACTGCCCAGCTCCTACAGGGCTTCATCAAGACTGCTCTTCTGCCTTGTGAGAAGGAAGAGCATCTGGGCTGTCCAGGGGTCACGACCTTGACCTTCCTTGTCCATTTGAAACTCCAAGAGAAGAGGGCTCTGTCATTCAGCACATCAGACACAAGTGCCGACTGTGAGTCCAGAGCACATAGAGACACAGCAGACAGGGTCTCCCCCAGAACAAGCTAAGTAACATGGAGGTGTGTGCACAGGGAGCTGACACGGTTGACTCCTGGACAGGCGGGGTTGAAGCCAAGACCAGAAAACAAAGTGCCATTGGTGCTGAGATGGAGGTGTGCGCACTGCGATCAGAGGGCAGACATTGGGATGGGGCAGGGGTCTACACGGTGTGTCAGGCAGCAAATAGGGGATGCAGGTGAGAGGGCTGTGAGGCAGAGGTGGGTGGATGGGTGGGTGAATGGATGGACAGGCAGGAGAGTAGGTGGGTGGATGACTGCTGCTCCTCATGGTCGCATCTTGTTCCAGGCTGGTAGCCATCATGCCTTTTGTTGTGATGTTTCTGGATCAGGGCTACACCGTTCCCAAAGCCTTTAAACTCATATCCCGTGAAGCCAGATCAGTACAGAAGTGGTCATATGCGCCTTCCTGTGCTGGTCAGGGCCCAGCAGAGAGGCCAGAGTAGAAAGGCACCGGTCAAGTTGCTCTCCCCAGAAGCATAGGGAGCAGTGTCCATGCGTCAGTTCCACACCCCATCTGTGGGAAGGTGTATGAGGTGACTTCTGTCAGTGCACTGAATGCTTCAGCCATAGGCAGGTTGTCAGGCTGGAAGAAAAGCAAAGCTAGCCAGGAGTGTTGGTGAATGCCCATAATCCAAGCACTTAGGAAGCAGAGGCAGGAGGATAGTAAGTTCGAGGCCTGCCTGAGCTTGTAGCAAGAGTCTGTTTCAAAAAAATCAAACAGCTCACTTCCAAAGAACACATGGAAGAAAACATGCTTACTGAAATTCTAAACTCTTCAAAGTGAACGACAATGAAACCATGCCAGAGTGAGAGACAAGGTTAAAGCACGCTTGAGGGGATGCTTAGATCATAAAAAAGAAAGGACGGGGTCAGTGTCTGGACTTCGACCTTGGGAAGCTACAAGAATAGCAGAGTGAGCCGAAAGCAAGTAGATGGCAGGAAGCAAAACTGAAGTGAACTGAATGCCGAAAAAGCAGGAATCACATTCACAGTGGAAGTCAACCCCCAAAGCTGGCTCTCCAAAAGGATCAGCAAAATTGAGTCTTTAAAATGCCTAGCTAGCTGGGGATATAGCTCAGTGGTTTAGTGTTTGCCTTGCATGCATGAGGCCCTGAGTTCAATCCCCAGTACCACCAAAAATAAAAAAATAATAAAAAAAAAATAATAAAATAAAATGCCTAGCTAGACTGATGAAAACAAAAAAGAAAAACCGCCATCCTGTGTGGTTCCACTGATGGGACATGGAGCACAGTCGGTCACCAGGGTCACCATGCCAATCAGCTTCCTGTCACTGTGACAGGAGGATAGGTTATAATTTCAGATACCTTAGTCCGTGCTTACTTGGTTCCATTGTTTCTGGGCCTGTGGCAAGACAGAACACTGGCAGGGAGCACTTGGTAGCCCCAAGCTGCTCAGAGGAAGCAGAGAGAGAGAGGAAGGGGCAAGGTCCCAATATTCCCTTCAAGGTACACCCCCCCCCAAAGAGGTCACTTCCTTTAACCAGGCCCTGCCTTCTGAAGGTTTCACCACCACCCCCCGTCAGCTAGAGACCAATCCTTCAACACGTGGGCTGCGTGCTTTCAGACCCAAAGCACAACAGGGTCTTGGAGGCTTGCAGGCTGGGGTGGCCACAAGGGGCAGCACAAAGGAGCCCCAGGGACCACTCTGCCTGGGGTGTTGACAGCAGGTGCACCACAGTCTGGAGGTTTAGGTAGTTCCATGGGTGCCGGTGTCCTTCCTGGTAGTGACTTCACACACAGTGGGGGGAGTATCTCGTGTTTTTTTTAAGACTTTCTGTGAATCTATACTGAAAACGTTTTTTTAAGCGTAATGAAGACATTCTGCCAGCTGAGGACTGGTGGTATCTGGAAGACAGGATGGGCAGACTTTAAGCTTCTGCTGAGTAAGCAGGTGAGGCAGGACCAGGCCCAAGGCTGTGGCCGCTTGGTGACTCCTCTCTCTTTTCTAGAAGGAAAGCCAACCTGCAAGGCCTCTGTACCGTGAGAGCTGGCCTGCCCAGGAGAGGTCTTCTGTGGGCAGTGGTCTGCTCCTTCTCTCCCTAAATCCCGCTTGGGGCTGCCAAGTACTTGATGGCACCATGTGGTCAGGAAGCCATGGGCCCCATGTCTGGAAAACACCCACCTGCCACACATCTGGCCTTGCGCTGTCGAGGACCAGGCCTCTCCAGGGTCACAGAGCAGGTCAGAGGAGCTGGGCAGGGCAGCTGCCAGCAGCTGAGCCTATGGAGTCCTCAGTGGGATTCAGTTGGTCACTCCTCCCTGAGTCAGTCCTACAGCCTCTCCTTCAGGACACTCTGGGGGCCCCATGGGGTCATTGTCCCTGCACACTCAAGCTGTGCTCTGCCGACTGCTGGCCAGTCACTGCTCACGGTAACCCCTTCCTGGGGATTAGTGAAGTGTCACGTGGGAGTACTCGCTGTTGCTCCCGGGGTGTGAGCAGGCGCCCCTCCACCCTTGAATTTGGGTCCATGGGAGCAGCCCTGGTGTGTGGAACTGGTGTGGAGAGGCCCAGGGCAGGGCCTGGACGTCACATGGTATCCACGTAGCCCTGGACCCTAAGGAACCACACACCGCAGAGCCAGTCCAGTGGCGGCACCTCACCTGCATCCTGCAGCCTCCACGACGCAGCCCCTCAAGTCCACGCCTGTCCTTCTGGCCCAGCATATACTTTCAGGATTAGTGACAGGGCTCAGGGCAACAGAGCCCTGCACTGTCCCAGGCTGCCTCTCAGTCTAAGCCAGGACTGAGCACTCAGTGTGCTCTGGGGGAGCATTAAGTGAGCACCCCTTAGTGATCCCTGTCCACAGGACCCTGCTTCTGCCTGCCATCCTGGGGTCTCCATGTGGAGGAGCAGGACTTGCTGCTGGGTCCCAGTCGATCCCACTGCCACCTGCCCCACTGAGCTCTGTGGTCCCTCACTTGCCTGGAGGTATGCAGGTGTCTCACCTCCAGCCCTGACACCCTAGCTTTCAGGAACTTTGGACACATTGACCAGCAAGAGCCAGGCGTTGCCACACACACCCTCAAGCAAAATAGACAGTGAGTGGCCAGAGAAGTCACCGCAGGTTTTCTTGGGGTGCACTGGGGAGAGAAGGCCGGGGTTCATGCCTCTCCCTGCAGCCCCGCCCCTTGTTGCTTCCCACCCCTGTCCCCAGAGTGCCCTCTTCAACCTCATCCTCCTGCTCAGATACCTGCTCCCCACACTCTGGAGAGAGGCCTTGTCAACCTTCCTGCCTCCTCTTGAGTAGAGCACAGGATTTGGAGAGGAGTGGGGACCAGGCGGAAAAGGGCAGAGACTCTCCACAGCACAGGGAGGGGTAGTCAACCCAAAGCCCAGGATGCTCTGCCGAGCTCGGCACCCTGCTCCCCAAGTC